ATTCCAACTCTACCAAACAAATGCAACGTATCACCTACCATATCCTTTTATATTTGTCTAAAAACTGTTATAATAAATATAATATGTGTAGATAAAATGTGGTCGTGACAAGAGGCATGAAAAACCACAAGAATATCAATTTTTGCAGGTTTGCAGGGCATGAGTCGACCATAGGGTCGGCACATGCATCAGTGCATTTTTCCACTTGTCAGCGCATGAAGGGTTGAGTCGACCATAAGGTCGGCGCATGAAGAAAACACTCTTCAACGAGTCAGCGCACGCCGACTGTATGGTCGACGCATACTGATACATTTTGCAGAATTTCAAAAGCGCAGGCTATGCGTCGATGCACAGACCTGCTGTGGTCGACCGTTCGCGCGGAAATGCAGTTTTTAAGTGATTCCCTCTATTATTTGAAAAGTTGTTATGTCTTTGGTTGGTCTGGTACTATATATACAAGTTCAATCACTTATGTCATTTTAACATTTGATAAAAACTGATTCATGTGTTCAAGAATAAGAAAGAGTGAAATAGGTGTCTAAGATTCATCATCTTCATCTTCAACATCTCACAACACATCAATTACACACAGCCATTTTTGAAGTGCATTGTGAGTGATTAAAGGTGATAAGGTTCGAAGCTTAGATTGGGTAATCTAGTTCGGGTTGAAGCTTGTGACGAGTTCTTTCTTGAATAAAACCGTTGGGGTTTTATCCTCCAAGATTGGTTTGAATTTTGGTGGTTTTTGGACGAGATTCTTCATCAAGGGTCAACTGAGCGAAGGTGATTGTGAAGAGGTGTTCTTCAACAGTCTAGTAGCAGATTCAGTGATATTGAAGGGAAGATCTTGGGTTCGATTCGTTGTAGTTGAGATCAGCCAGGGCGAAAGGTTTGAACAACTAAGGATTATTCAATAAGGTGGCTGGAATCGGAGGTCTATCAACAACGATTGGAGGACTTGATTCATCTTGAATCAAGGGGCAAGGAGTGGAAGCAACATTCAACGTATTGAGATTTCTGTTGTATTTTTGTTGTTCAATCCTTGTATAAACTGTTACATTCAACAGGTGATATCTATTAAATCTATCTCAATTCTAGTTTTAGAATTGAGGGCAGACGTACCCCGAAGCGAGGACGACGGGGGAACTGCCTCACCAAATACTTGTCTTCTCTATTTTTCAGCATTTTCGTTTTAGCTTAAAAATAAGTGATTTTTGTATAAGCACTATTGTCAAACTGTGATATCAATTGAGTAAGAGGTTAAAACTCTGTTTTTGAATCCAAAGTACAATAATACATATTACTAGGCTAGTTGGAATCACTTACTCAACATAAATATCACTTGGAGTGTTTTTGCACGCCAAGTGTTCGACAAATTGCCTAAACCAAAATTATCTTATTTGTGTATCTAGTTTTGGTTTGCTCTTTAAATCATTGGAACTAGGAATCCTAACAAGTGAATTAGATCATTGATAAGTGTGATTAGTGTTGTGATTCTCTCTTCCATATTATAATTAATCCAAAGGCTTATCGCATATCCGGTTTTCCAATAACCGTTCGTTTTAGACTATATTTTCCTCGGCCGCTTCCGCACTTAAAACAATTTTTCAAAACCAATTTTTTTAATTGGTAGCGCCGACTCAAATTTTTAATTGGGATCTATTCAACCCCCCCCCCCTTCTAGATCCGTGCCATAGTCTAACACATTCAACACGAAGGCCGTCTCAAAGACCCTCACCATCGCGGCCAGATCCGCGGACAAAATTATCCTCCGGGTCTCCTTGCCCGAGGCCAGTATGCTCTTAGCCTCCTCTGGGGCCACCCCGGGATCGTTCCTCCCCGAAAAGAAATTCGGCCAAAGGCAGCAAGGGGGCAGAACGAACCCGCGCTCCGGGGACCCGTCCGTGAGATCAATCGAAGGCACCTCAACCTCCCGTCGTCTCTTTGGGGCTGGGGGATGCGCCAGGGAGTCAGTTCCCTGTGGGGACGTGGCCGTTCCCGAAGGGCCAACAACCAACTCCCTCCGAACAGCTGTGGTCCGACCTTGAGTACGACGGCTACCCCTGTTCATCAGCTTCATCACTCGTTCCTCCATAGAGCCCATTGTTCCTGCAAGAAGAGAACAAGATAAACAGTTAGAATCAAAATCGAAAACAAGTAACAAGACCAGTCGAGGAATCGCCCAAGCTACCTAGGAGCCGATGGACCTCAGCCTCAGTCCGACACTCGAGCAGAGCCTTTATGTTGATACACCGGATCTCTGTCCGTATCTGCCCGTCTGCGTTGCGGATATACTCCCCGTCGGGAGACACGCACTTCCGAGGAGGAAGACGCCCGACAAAGCCCGTCAGCTTTCGGAAGGCCAAACTGTCTTCCTCGCCCAGGCGGCTAGGCCAGTAGATGAAGTTGTCAGTGCCCAAACAGAAGTGCAGGTCCGCCCAATCCAGTGGAAAGTTAGACTCGTAACTATCCTCGGACCGCCCATCCACCACGACCACCTCTCTCCGGAACATGCTGTCGTAGGCCTCGTATGTCGCCAGCATGACCATAAACTATCTATCTTTAAATCCCCGCACTGAGTTAGTGTATGGCCGGAAGATTCTGTTCGGTTGCTTCAAGGAGACCCAATTATACCGACCAGACACCATCTGGCGCTGCAGATGGAAAACGCAGAAGAACAACGGGATGGTGGCCCCGAGCTCAAGGTAGTTTCAGACGATCTTGAACGCCCAGATGAAGGCCAAAGAATTAGGATGAAGTTGGGACAGCGCCAACATCAGGTGGTCGAACACGCCCTGTTGAAATCCGGTGAAGGGCATGTGCATCCCCACCTCCTTGAAGACGAACTTGTACATCGGAAATCGACCACCGCTGTACCACGAGCATATACGGTCCAACTCCCTTGGCTGGCAAGCGCAAAACTGGCGAGGGCTCCAGGCCCTCCTGTCTTCGATCACGACAAAAACATTAGAATCGTCGTGGACGAACCTCAACATATAATTTAAAGGCTCCTCCCCGACCCATTCCTCTAATGGTTTATCAGGGGGATCCATGTCGACCTCATCCTGACGGCCTTCCTCATCCTCAGACAGATACCAGTGCACCTCCTCCTCAGCGTGGCCATCCATTATTTACCTGAAAAGAAGAGGAACTTGGTGAATTCGATAGCCAAATCAAATCCACCCTTCCACCGCAGTTCAAGTGAAAGGGCGTGGTCTCCTAACCGCCCAGCGGACGACTTGGGGGGAAATCTTAACCCTCGGGGAGACCAGAGAGTACACTCTCTGTCCTTGACGTACACGTCCACTCGTGCCCGGGGCATTCATCTAATTACCATATGGGCATTCATAGTTCTACCAATCCTCCCCGGGCCACTCATCACAAGGGTCGGAGACGGTCATTTAGTACCCTAACTTTGAAGGATCCTTCGACGTGTTCGCCAGAAAAACCCACGGTGATCCTAGCACCCCCAGCAGGGCCGCCAGAAACACCGCCGTAAGCAGTAAAAACACCAAGAAGGATGCAGAAACTTACTTGTTGTGGTGGCGGAAAAGATGTCTTCGAGCAGAGAAATCACGGGAGTCGAGAAAAAGCGATTAAGGATGTCGGGCAGAGATCTTTGGATGTTGGGCAGTTGCAAAATAAGCGAATGAGCGAAAAAGACGAGCTAGGTCAGCATATATATACCCCTAGCACGGGAAACGAAGCGTCGTTAGGCACTCAAGTGCCTAGCCCGTAACCGTCACAGGAAGACATATGGTAACCCTCCACCTTCCCTGCGTCTCTTAAAGTTCTTTCCTCGACCGCAAGCTCCACCTCGTCATAAGTCACCTGGTCGACACGATCGCAGTCTGCCCAACAGATCGACGCGCCCGACGCCATTCTCTGCTCAAGTCATAGCTCTGCTGACCGCAAATAACGACTTGGCGGCTACTATTCTGGACTGGACCGACGCTTAACCCACAACCAAGCATGCCTAAACCTCAATGGGGTTGGGCCCAATAGGACCACACTGACGGGCAGAAGACCCGTCGGGCACAACCTTCCCGCCCCGTCGGGCATATGCCAACAGCTGTCGGGCAGGACCATCGCAGTCGACCAGCCAACCTTTTTCTTCCCCATCGTCGGGCAAAGTCCAGCCTGCTCGGGGAGCTCCTCGGACCTCCCCCCACGTTCTCTACGTGTCCCTCACGCAGGGACACGTCATAAAGTAACTACCCACGTCCTAGAGATTCGGTCTTCCTCCTCCCGGATAATGCAGAACAGTTACCCTAGGGCAAAGACCACGTGCTGGTCTTCATGACGCCACGTTAGCCCTAACAGTTGCTAACATTGGGCCTGGCAGGCCAGCCCAGTGCTAGGTAACCGTTGGCCCTACGCTGAGGGCTCACTATAAATACCATCTTCACTAGAGGGTCAGATAACTTAACTCTCTTACTCTCTCTCTGTACTTGCTCCACTTTGCTCGTCACTTATTTTGGCATCGGAGTGTGTTTCAGGTACACCTCCCTCCTCTTTCATATCTTCGATGAACAACTAACAGATCAATGACGTGAAATAGGTCACTGACTTCCTTCTGATCAGACAAGATCAATTACTAAATAACACAATCAATACAATTTTTCCTTTTATGTTTTACAATACATTGAATATAGCATCTAAATAAAATTCATAGAATTTAAAATATACATTGAATATTTGAATAAATAAAAAGTTATCTACCTCTTACACTGAAACGCTTCTATTTATTTATACACACTTAACCTGTAGCTAGGAGTGTAATACAGTCAATGCTAAACTTTCGTTCCTACTTTACACAAACCTCATGAATCTGATTCCACAATCAGAAATGAATCTCCACCGTTCATTTCATTCAAAGTCACTATTCTCTCACTTTATCATCACAGAATAATCCTGATTGATATATTTAATCATCAATTTCAGTTACAAATTTTATCTTCATTTTTTTTCGTCATCTGATTTTCTCTTTGAATGAAATAATGAATGGCCAGTTTCAGATCTACCAGCAGACTCCTCGAAATTACGCCGCTTGGTCGCTTTGCCAACCACCTTACGAGTCGGAAAATCCGGCCAGTTTTTCTCGACCGCCAACTTTCAACGGCCATTACACTAGTCGTGTTAAATGGAATGGAAACAAATCCGAGAGATGCAACGACAGACGCCGTGTAAACTCTAACGATTCATCGGAGACGAACCGATTCACCGGCAAGGTTCGACGATTTCACTTTCCGAAGAGGAGGTTTCCCAGCGGCGGACGTTTCTCTGCTCCATTCGCGCCACGTAATACAACATCGTTCATAATCCGCGCGAAGAAGTCTGGCGGCATAGCTTCTCTGGTGTCTCCTTGTGCGACGACTCCGGCGATCTTGACAACGCCGAGACTATCGCCGTCGACAGAGGTGGTTGTGGAGATGGCGAAGGAAAAGTGGGGAGTTGACGGATATGGCACAATGAAAGGCCTAATTCGTGTCCGGTCAGAGAAAGAAGATACCGACGAAAGGGAGAACATTGGCGGTGAACTTTTGGAAATTGAGAAGAGATTGAGCAGTGATTTAAGCAGGTTTGAGATGATATATCGAAATGAAAATAGTTTAGAGAATAGGGTTGATGAACAGGAATTACATATTACACGTCTTGAAGAACATAATCTAACACTTAAGGAAAGAATTTTTCTCCTTGAAGATGAATTGGGTGAGTTGCGACGGCGTGTTTTATGCTTGGAGACGGAGGGAATCAGATTGCAAGATTTCAACGGAGGCGATGTTTGCTCGGAGAAAAGTGTCGGAGATGATGGAGACAGTGATGAAAGGTGATTGTTAAAATCACTGGAAATTCAAACATACACTGATTGTGTTAGGTGGGAAGGGTTTAATGGATTTTGCATATGATTATAGATTGTTTTTAAAACTCTATGAATTTGATAGATGTAACAGTATAGTTTAATTTAGTTATTGTTGTTGATATGAAGTTAACTCTGTAGATGTTGTAGCTTGTGGGTTTTGTTAGTTTGGACTTCAAAACAACATTCAATAAGAATTAAAAAATGCTCTGTAATGTCTTGTTAATTATCTGTCTGCTTGTCTCAATTTTCCATTGTTAAAAATTATTGATCAATGCAGCACACACTACAAAGTATTCATTGACTTTAGTGAGGGAATGATTATACTCTTTTGCATCTTATTTGTTTTCTTTAGTAAAAATTGTTTAAAGTTATAGGAAGCTAGAGAATTCAAAGTTAGAGAATTTATTTGCCAGATCATCTTTCTCTAAAAATACACTCTTTCATCTTATTTGTTTTCTCCTTTAAAAATTGGTTTAAAAGTTTACATATAATAATAATAATAATTTTGGCACATTTTTGTAGAATTTATGAAAATTTTAATAGAATAGGTTGAAATTATGTTACAACCTATCATTTACTCCTTTATCGATACTAATATAATTCATTTATATGAGTCAGAATTGTCAATTCACCTATTAAACGTTGAGGCTATTGGTCATTACTTCATTGGTTGTTTAGTATAGTGTGCTCCTTTTGCCACTTTTATTATTTATATGAGATTTATCACTTTATTTACTAGTGATGAGTTATATCTGAAATTAAATTTATTGGTAGAATCTATTCTTCTAAAAATATTGCATCAAAGATGTTAAGTATTTATTCGATATTAATAGTAAAATGTATAAATAAATAATGTGAGTATGAATCGATGTGTATATATATTCACTTATCCACCATCTAAGACTCAACAATAAAGTTAAGATGTATAGACACCAACCAAGGAATAAAATAACTATTGAACAAAATAACTATGACTCTATTTATAATACATCATCAATTTTTTGAATGATATTCAGATATGCTCTGTCTAGACGGTTCATTAATATCTCCTTCATACTAAATTATTTTGGAAAATAATTTTTCTTGATAGAATATTTGTTGTTAGAAAAAAAAACAAACAAAACATAGAAAAAAAAGAATACAATCACAATATATGAACGTAACTTGAAAACTCTAAAATTAGAGAAAAAATCACGCGTGTTGTCAATACTATGTGAAAATTGTTACAACACATAATATATTCTCAACTAACTCAAACCTTCAGTACGCCCACATCCTCCAAAATAAATATTTAATTACATCTCACAACACTATAATACAAGAGTGTAAGAGAACAAAGAAAATTAAAAACTAACTTAAAGTGTTTTTGACTAGTGCATCTTAAAATGAAGAATTTGAATCATATATATAGCCTTGGATTCCCTATTCCTTCACAAAACTAAGCGATGTGAGACTTCTTCAACATGTATATTTTCAACCAACTCTATCAATTATCACCTTGATTGAAAATAATACTTAAGTTTTCATTGTCTTCACAGACAATCTTACTCCACCATAGAAAATATAATCACTTGAAGGTACCCCACTTCAAGAATTTTCGCATTTAACGACAATCATAGTTTTTAAAAACTATCATACTCTCTCATAAAAAATATATTTCACTTGAACATAAACCACTTCAAGAATTTCACACTGTCATTGCCGACAATCATATAATTTATCATGAAAAATAGATTTCACTTGAAGTTAAACCACTCCAAAAATTTTACGTTGTCTTCACCGACAATCATAGTTTTAAAAAACTATCGTAATCCACCTAAAGAAGAGTATACTTCACTTGAAGTTAAACCTCTTCAAGAATTTACACATGTCAAAAATCAGGTTGAAACTTTATGGTACAACTCCTATGTTGGTCGGAAGGTCTTCAACCACTCGCATAATCTTGCACCTTGTGAAATCTTGATTGTATCAACACATTTTTTACTTGAACTTTCTACGAGTCAAAAAATATCTTCCATCAATTTTCTTTAGCCCAAACTGCATAGTGGATTGTGATTGCAGCTCAACAACTCTTTCACAACACTACCCTTCTTTTCTGAAGTGGGAGATCAGATAAAACTGCAACCACAAAGCATACTCAGAACATTTATCCAGAATCGAACTAAAAACTCTAATACTAATTATTGAGAAAAAGAAAAAAAAGCATAGAGAAAGAATAGGAACGCAATCACAACACAAGAACATAATGTGAAAACTCCAAAATCAGAGAAAAAACATGGGCGTTGTTAATAGACAACTAGAGAATAACACTATGTGAAAATTGTTACAACACATAATACAGTCAAATAACCACCTTAAAGTGTTTTCGACTGGTGCATCTTGGAATGATGAACTTGAATCCTATATATAGTATTGAATTCCCTCTTCCTTCACAAAACAAAGTCATGTGGGACTTCAAAGAAATTTTATCTTATATATAGCCTTGGAATCTCAATTCATTCACAAAACTAAGCAATGTGGGACTTCTTCAAAATGTACATTTTCAATCAACCCCAAGACTTGTGACGTCTCCAAGCATCATTTATTTGAGAAAATACTACTCTTTTTTTTCCTTTTTCAGGAATGTTGAACTTCTTCTGCAAAAGTAAAACAATATTTATCATTAGTCATAGATAATATATACACATAAACATACACTCATGCTTTTTTTTATTTATAATTTTGTATTGATCCTTCAAAATCTATATTATGACATTAATAATTAGTTTTCCAAAACAAACGTTTCTTTTCTCATGAATTTAAGTAGCAAGGGGTATAAGTTTCTTAGCTACTCGAAGAGACATATAACAAAATATGAAATGGGATTGGCAGAGGATAGAGAAAGCAATATGCTCATAGTCTGAGACTTCCTTAGTATCATCACAATGGTCTTTAATATAGTTATTGAAGTCAGGATGGTTGGAAGTAAAATTAGGTTGGATCTGATGTTTGTGAGTAGGGTTAAAGGTCTCCCCAGTTGGTTAAATACCATTAATAACAACACTGTTTAAGAGAGCGGGACTCATCATTCCACGTGGCAAGTGAAAAGTGTTGGTCGAAGACTCCCAAAAATATATAGCAGATATAAGTATGAGGGGGTTATACTTGGGCCCAGTTCTTGATAGTTGGATCAAATCAAAGATGCCTTGATATTTCCAAGTCTATTCTTTCTTTTGTTGTATCCTATGAAACTAACTAAGGTAATGCCACACCTCGAAAAATCAAAAATACGATCCTCACGCAAAAGGCACGGAAAACGGTTCGACAGAGTCACCACCAAACTTTATTTATCCCAAAAAGGGAAATGAAAATATCGAGAAAAGCTTTAAAGAGATAAGAACATGGTCATCACAACCACATTATGAGTTCGGGAGTCAGTTATGTGAGAGAAAGGTATTAGCACTCCCTCACGTCCATTGTACTCAACGGGAACCTCTTAATTCAAATTGCGGTGAACGTTAGCTAAGCTTATTTGTTTTCTTCTAAACGAGATAAAGCGAAAAGGTACGATAAAAGGTTTGATTTCTAGGGAAAATGGGTAGTTTTAGGTTAGGGTGCTCGCCAAGGATTAGGGCCCTTATGCCTGCGTATGCTCATTCGGACGAGAATGAGGAATCAGAGTGCTCGTAGTTCGACTACGGGAAAAGGTTGGACGAAAAAGGTGGAAAAAAAGAAAGAAAAGGTAGACCCAAAAGCGGAAAAAAGGTAGAAAACAGAAGATGGAGGGAATGTAGAGGCAAACGGGGGAAAAAGAAAACGTTAGCTCGCCAAGATCATCGCAATCTTGTGCCTACGTATCTTCATTTGGACGAGAATGAAGAATCAAAGCGTTCGTAGTTCGTGGATATGATCACGAAAGAAATGGAAGGGGATGTTTTGCTCAGATGAAGATTACTTGAATATTAAGAAAGGCTCCTCGGGACCAAGTAATCGGGAGAGCGAATCGAAGACTCGACTCTCTCTCTTTTTCAACCTTAATTATGAAAGTGATTGATATAGTTAAAGTATTTTAATTGGATGACGATTACTCGAAGCTTAAGAAAGGCTCCTCGGTCCCAAGTAATCAGGAGAGTGAGTCAAAGGCTTGACTCTCTCTCTCTTTTTCATCTAAGTGATTGAGAAAATCCACTTGATGTTGGATCAAGGGTTTGATTGTATGTGAAGAGGTTGATTACGAGGAAAATGACACTCGACTTAAAAGTTGATTAGAAAATAGCTCGATGACGAATTGAGGGTTTGTGAAAAGAGGTGTGAATTGATCCTAGACCATAGGGATGCTCTTAGTAACAAAACCACGATGGAATGTGCAAGTGTGTGCATTAGGTTGATGGCGATGCTAAAGAGAAATCAACTTACAAGGGTGTTTTGAAAATTACTTGACGATAAATCGAGAATTAGTTTGAAAATGGTTTAGTCTATACTAGTCCTTAGGGGTATTTCTAGTAAACAAACCATAATCAAAAGCAAGTAAAGTGCGTACATTGGAATGGGAACGACGTACATGTAAGTTACACGGGATTGCGCGAAATAAATGGGGTCATTGTCAGGTAGCCCAAGTGTTGCAGTGAGAATCGTGATGTCAAGCTTTTGATTAAATTGAATCTTAATTCATTGAATTCACAACCGGACTTTGGTTTATCCAAAGGAAAGGTTAAAGAAAGAAATACTTTTTACGTGATGTAACAACAACACTAAGAGATCGGGGATCGGGGATTGGTTATGCCTAGGGTAGGTATTTCACATTCTAAACATCTGTAGTACTCTATAGGAACCTTTTTTTTTGTGTGTGTGTGTGTGTGTGTGTGTGTGTGTGTGTGTGTGTGTGTGTGTGTGTGTGTGTGTGTATGATAAGCTTGCTAATGGTTATGCTATGGTTTGGGATTAGGGTTAGGGTAAGGACCTAAGGATACCTTCTAATTTTTCTCGCAAAGA